GCGCGCTCCCGCCGGCCTCGCCCGTGACGCCCGCGGCTCGCGCATGCTCGGGGCGGCCCCACCCGGCCCCGGGCCCGCTCCCGCTGCCCGCGGCGGGGCCCCTCGCCCGGCACGGACGGAGGCTGAGGTCCCGGTGCCTGTCCCCTCGGCCCGCGCTCCTGCGTCTTTCCCCGGACGGGAGAGTCCCTGGCTCGGGCTGCTGTCCCCCGTTCCCAGTGACTCAGAGCTGGGGTCTGCCTTGGTGGAGGGTCTAGAGGGGAAGGCGTACGAGGAGCGGCTGAGGGCGCTTGGCTTGCTCAGCGTGGAGAAGAGACTGAGGACAGAGCTCATCGTGGGCTGCAGCTGCCTCAGGAGGGGCAGTGGAGGGGCAGCACCGATCTCTTCTTGCTGTGACAGGACCCGAGGGAAGAGCTGGAGTTCTGCCGGGGGATAATTAGGTTGGATATTAGGAAAAGGTTCTTCACCCAGAGCGTGCTTGAGCTCTGGAACAGTCTCCCCAGGGCAGTGATCACAGCACCAAGCCTGACTTCAAGATTTCAAGAAGCATTTTGTCAAGGCTTCCAGGCACGGGTTGTGACTTTTGGGGATGTCCTGTTCAGGGCTAGGAGTTGGACTCGGTGATCCTTGAGGGTCGCTTCCATCTCAGGACATGCCACGATTCTGTGGTCTGGCCCAGCAGTGCAGAGCTGAGTGACAGGGAATGGGACAGCGGTGTGTGTCTGTGGGCACTGGGCTCCCCGGGCACCGCCCTGGGCACTGTGGAGGCCCTGGCTCCCCATGTGCCCCGAGAGTCCTCCACAACTCCTGCACCCACACCCTGCACCTGCCCCCAGCTCACAATGCCATGTTTGTGACCAGACCTGCAAGGAGCCCTTTGGGAGCTCCTCACTGTTCAGGCACTTTAATCAACACTTGCAACGTGAATCGTTTACACGCTCCATGCAAAGCATCGGGTTTCACCACCATGTTGGATTATGTTTTCCATCAGTGTAATTAACAGATGGTTTGGGTTTTTGTGTTGCAGTGCGGTCACAGACCTCACCAGATGACCTGCCTTCTTTTTCATAACCATTCCATGACATCTAACAGTGATTTAAGAATTCTGGTGAATTAAAGTCCCACAATTTTCCTGGCAGGTTTTGCCATTTCACAAGGTTGGAAAAGAGAGAAGAAAGCAACTGTCAACGGCGAAAATAAAATAAATAGAACTTTGTTTAAAATGCTTCCGTACAGACCCAGACAAGTCACAATATATTCAATTTTAATCCATAACATTGATTGGTATGTGACAATCTAGCTATTAAAAGAGCTAGATAGTAAAGAAGAAAGTGTTGAGCACAGTGAGGTAAAATCAAACTAAAGTGAAGACAGTGAAGGATTGCTACCTGATCCATGGAAAGAATACTCACCATTTCAGTAAACAAGAAATCTGCAAAGCGAGGTTTGGTTGTTCAGAAGTAGATGTGAATGCTGAGGCTGCTGATTTTGCCTCTAAAAGCCACTCCACCTCTCTGCCAAAAAGCACCCAGCTACAGGAGGTTTGACAGGCACATCCCTGTGCTGTGGTAAGGAAATGCCGGGCTGCTCCACAGGGGCTTGAGGAAGGCAGGGGGCTGCTGTTCATGCCGTTGGGTGTGGGTGACCATGTGCTTACACTGTGCTGCTTTTCCACTTAGGACCTCTGATTGCTTCCTCCTCCATCTTACCTGCTGTCCTGAGTTCACCCGATCCCATATTCAGGACCATTTCCTTAGAGGTACCAATATAATTTCTAATAGCACTTAGAGTATTTTAAGCATGAAGATGTTGGCACTTTCCTTCCAGACAACCATCATCTCCTCCCAGTGCTGTTTCCAATTCCTTCTTCCTCACAGAACATATTCTTCCCATTTTCCCTCCTCACCTCTGAAACGAAAGGGAAAAACAGGATGTGAGATGAAGAAGGGGCATGAAAGAAAAGCAGACTAAAGAAAGCAAAAGGTAACGCAGTGTATTCAAGGACCAGTCATATTTACAACACATTTGTTAGCTAATAGGTGCAGTATATTTGAATTTTGGGTAATTTATTTCTGGAAGCTCAGGGGACTGAAATGGACAATCAAGCCTACAGCATGTGTTCAGCAGGGGATAAATGGAGATGGGTGCGGTTACAGAGCAGTTCCTGCTCTTTCATATTCGCACAAATCTCATGTGTAAAATCAATAGGATCAGAATTTCAATCAATAAGTTTCATTTCAATGGTTCTAGCCAGAGGGAATTATGAAAAGTGCCGTATAGAAAAAACACAATGAAGAAATCCAGAGGCAGTGTCCTCATGAGATTGCTGCATTTTCTTCCCATCTCCTCCAGCAGCTTGCCAGCCTTGGACTCATATTGGGAAACTCTCCAAGGGTTTTACTAAGAGAATTAGTCTTTTGTATCAGCCTCTGGCTACTCGTTATCTGACAAATTTGTAGCCCGAGCCTCCTGCTATGGAGAAAATTATTTCTCTTCTTCTTGACCAGTGTGGAGTCTGCAGTCAGCCCTTTGTCCCATGAACATCCCCCTTGCTACACAATAATCTACTAATTTCTTTCTTAAGGCAAAATCAGAAATTGGCAAGTCTTCTCCTTGCTCTCTCAGCTCTCAGAAAAATTCAGGGGAGCAGCTGTGAAATTGATCCATTTCTGAGCCATTTTTTTTGCTGCTGCTAACTGAGCAGAGCTGGTGGAAATGTTTCTTTTGAAATTTTCTTAGAGGGAAATTTCATTTTTAAAAAGTATCTGCTTATTCATGGCAGATGAATTTCAAGAACCTGAAAGAAAAAAGATTGCCTCCTCCACCAAACAAAATGCATTCCAGCCTACTTGGCTTTTGAGATAAATATATTGGGTTTTGTTGCTGAAAAAGATGTTTCCCTTTTTCAGGAACTGACAGAAGTCCTCTTTTAATAAAAAGTGGTTGCTGGTAGTAACAACTTCAGATGAAAATAGGCTTCATTTTTTTCCCCTTGTAAATGAGACAACCTATCCATTAAAGGTGGAGAGGAGGAACTTTCTGGCTATTCCTGCAATTAAACTATTTCATCAAGGTGCAAGGTTCATAAAGAACACACTTGTTTCTGCTCAGACTGCTCTCTTCCAAATATAAGAGTCAGCAGTGTATTTTAAGCAAAAGTCTTTATTCTCCTGTATCTGATCCGTGCCTCAGCAAAACCCAGCTTCTTTCTGCAATCAGTTTTCAAACATTGTGCTAGAAAAGTTAATCAGATAGTAATTTCTTTAAGAAGTGAAGGATGGTAACAGAACTGATGGATGCCATTGAAAAAGATTGTGCCAAAGTGATGTTGCGGGGTAGATGACAACTTTATGATTTCATATGTGTTGTCTTATCATGAGCACTTCCACACTGGGGAGAGATGAGCCCTCCAGCATACATCACCATCCTGGGCTCTGCTACCCAGCTCAAGGGTTTGTAGAGTGTTCTGGCTTTCTTCCTAGAATCGCAGAACAGTTTGGGATGGAAGGGACCTTTCAAAGCCATCTAGTCCAACCTCTCCCCAGTGAGCAGGGACGACTTCAATAGGACCACGTTTCTCAGAGCCCTCCCCAATATTGCCTTGAATGTTTTCAGTAATGGAGCATTCATCACCTCTCTGGGAACCTGCAATGTTTTACCCACCTCAAAACCAAACATTTCTTCCTTATATCTAATTTAAATCTACCCTCTTCTAGTGTAAAATCATGACTCCTTTTCTCATCGCAACAGATCTTACTGAAATGTTTCTTCCCACAGCTGGCTAGGAGGTAGTAAAGAGGGGTGAGAAAACTCTTCCATGGGCCTTGAGAAAGTCTCATAGCTACCACAACACCACCACAGCTGAGGTTGCAATAGTATTGGAGGGAATACCACATTAGTTCCATCCCCGTAATTAGTTGATATTGCGGGATCAGCACGTCCTCAGAGAACTGGTGGGTGGTATGAGGAGGGAGTGGGGCAAGCCCAGAGTGATGTGACTGTAGGAGGAAAGCTGCAAAGCTTTGCAGCTTGTCTTTCTCCCCCTACTTCAGGATTGTTCTGTCCAATCTATAATCTTCTCTTCCTTCAGTGTGGTTTTAATGTACATGCTAATGGAACGGCCACCAATCCCACAGAGAGATAGTGATGCATTCTAGCAGATCTCACCATTAGGAAGTTTTCCCCGGATATTCAGCTTAATTTTTCATTCTTTAAATTGATGTCAATTACCCCCCAGCTAAACCTAGTTATGCAGTGGAAGACAGGTTTAAAATACTGCATGATCTCACTAAATTGGAGAAATGGACAGAAATCAATACAATGAGAGGCAATAAGGACACCCATAAAGGTTAAGTGGTTGATGGAGGAAGGATTAATGAAATGCACAGATACTAGGTTAAATTGCAAATATCCTTACTTCACTCTTACTCACTCTATACCCCATGAATATGTTCTACTCCAGCAAATTAAATGAGGAAGCACCTTAGAATTTGACTAGCAATTTGGAGAAGTAGAGATGAGTATTAAGGGAAGAGATGGTCTAGGGTGGATTTATTATGTGGAAATTTGGCTATAAGACAAGAATGAGACACTAAGAGTAAAAAAAAAAGTGACCTGTCAATAATAATATGACCTGCAATATAATTGGTGTCAAGAAGTAAGTTGGACAGCCTGCTGAAGTCTAGAGAAATGCTGAAAAACCTACTTTTGTTGTTAGTTTTTCATGTTTGTCTGGGT